CACGGAGGCCAGAAGGAAGTGGCACAACAGTTTTCAAGAGATGACATAAAAGAAATACCAACCAAGAATTATTTAGCCCGCAGAAATGTCCTTAGGAATGACAGTGAGATTAAGATATTATCAGATGAAGGAAAACTAAGAGAATGTGTTACCAGCAGACTTACCTTGAAAGAATGAGTAAAGAAAATCCTTACAACAGAAGGGCAATGATACAAGAAGGAATCTTGGAACCTCAGAGAGGAAAACAACAATAAAAGAAGCAAAAATATCAGTAAATAGACTTTATTTTTCCTCTCAAGTTTACTAAACAGTGCTTGATGGCTGAAGTATCAATTACAACATTGAGGTGATTCCCTATATAAAAAGGAAATATTTATTTGACATTTAATGTTATAAGTGGGGAGAATAAAGGGATTAAAAGGAGGTAAGGACTTTCTATTTTACTGAAATTGGTAAGAGAAATAAACATAGGTACAAGTGACCATTATTCAGCCATAGAAAGGAATAAGGTACTAGTAAGTGTTATAACATGGACAAATGAACCTTAAAAACATTATGCTAAGTGAAAGAAGCCAGGCATAAAAGGCCAGGCCACATAGTGTATATGATTCTATTTATTGAAATATGCAGAATACACAAATTTATACAGATGAAATTAAATTTGTGGTTGCTTAGGGCTGGGGTGGGGAGAGTAGACTGAGGAGTGGGCAAAGGAGTTCTTTTTGGGGTGATGAAAATACTCTAGTTAGATTGCTGGGCGCGGTGGCTCCCGTCTGTAATCCCAGCACTTTGGGAGGCCAAGGTGAGCAGATCTATTGACCTCTGGAGTTCAAGACCAGCTGGGTAACACAGCGAAAGCCCCATCTCTACAAAAAATACAAAATCACCCGGGCATGGTGGCACATGCCTGTAGTCCCAGCTACTTGAGGGGGTGAGGCAGGGAGGACCATTTAAGCTCGAGAGGTTGAGGCTGTAGTAAGCCAAGATCCTACCACTGCACTCCAGCCTGGGTGACAGAGCAAGACCCTGTCTCAAAAAAAATTATTAAATAACAAAATCAAGTTAGATTGTGGTGATGTTCATACAACTCTGTGAATATACTAAAAACTGCTGAACTGTATACTTCAAATGTGTGGGTTTTATTGTATGTGAATTACATCTGAATAAAGCTGTTTTTTAAAAACAGATCACAGATTTAAATGTCAAACATAAAATTAAAAAACTTTAAAAATAAAACACAGGAGAACGTCTTTGGGAGGAGGGCTCGTGAAGAGTTCTTAGACACGACACCAAAAGCATGATCCAAAAAATGTTTTTAAATCAATAAACTAGACTTCAAAATTAAACATGTTTGCTCTAACAAAGACCTTAAGAGGACAAAAGGACAAACTACAACCTGGGAGGAAATATTTGCAAACCACATATCTGACAAAGAACTCATACCTAGAGTATGTAAGGAACTCTCAAAACTCAAGTTTTTTAAAAAAGCAATCCATTTGGAAAATGAGCAAAGAATGTGAAGAGACATTTCACCATAAAGGACATGTATATGACAAATAAGCACATGACAAGATCATTAGCTATCAGGGAAATGCAGCCTCCCCTGGGCCTTAGTCATTTCTTGCTCTTCTTGGGAAAAGGCAAAGACAGAGACCTATGAGTCAGAGCTGGGGGCAGGAAGTTGGATGGAAGGGAGAGAAGATGCTAATGGAGTCATAAGAGACACAGTCCATCTCACATCTTGGAGCTGGAAACAGGTTGACTATGTCTCTCATATCTCCCAGAAGCACCCACCTGAAAATGCACACCCATAAGCCAGGCAAGAGGTTGCCAGGGGAAGCCAGGGAGACTCACCTGGTTAGAGTCCCAATCTCTGCATTGGTGACTGACATTGCACAGAGCAAGGGTTGGCAAACCTTTTCTGTAAAAGGCCTTTAGGATGTCCAGGCCATATGGTCTCTATGGCAACTACTCAGCTCTGCCATTAAAGCAGTAACAGACAATATGTAAATGAATGAGTGAGACCATGTTCCAAGGAAACTTTAATGGACACCAAAATGTAAATTTCATATAATTTTGATGTGTCACAAAATATTCTTTTTACTTTTCTCAAGCACTTTAAAGATGTAAATAGTATTCTTAGTTTGCAGGCTACAGGAAACCATAAAGGGTCAGTAAACCGGGGGCCATAATTTGCTGACCCCTGATGAGCTTAGATGAGGAGGTTCACTGTTACGCATACCATTGTCACTCAACACTTGATTTACAATGCAGTGACGTCCCTTAAATCCATAAATTTGGCCAGGCTCAGTGGCTCATGCCTGTAATCCCAGCACTCTGGGAGGCCAAGTGGGCAGATCACTTGAGGCCACAAGTTCGAGACCAGCCTGACTAAAGTGATGAAACCCTGTCTCTATTAAAAATACAAAAATTAGCTGGGTGGTGTGGTGGTGTGCACCTGCAGTCCCAGCTACTCCAGAGGCTGAGGCAGGAGAATTGCTTGAACTCGGGAGGCAGAGGTTGCTGTAAGTCGAGATCACACCATTGCACTTCAGCCTGGGTGACAGAGTGAAAAAACAAACAAACAAATCTATAAATTCTACTTCTAGGAATTTATCACAAGGAAATAATCATGGCTGCACACAAAAATTTGACAGCAAAGACTGTTATCCCATCCTGGTGATAACAACAAAAAAATCTGAACACATTTAAATATCCAGTGACAGAGGAGGGGCTCAAAAATCTGAAGCTATCCAAAGAATGGCTGCTATGCGGCCATGTCAACAATCATCCTGTGATCCAGAAAGAAAGCAAATGTGGTAAAATATTAACAATAAGTGAATCTAGGCCAGGTGTGGTGGCTCACACCTGTAATCCCAACACTTTGGGAGGCCGAATTGGGCGAATTGATTGAGTTCAGGAGTTCAAGACCAGCCTGGGCAACATGGTGAAACCCTGTTTCTACAAAAAGTACAAAATTAGCTGGGCATGGTGGCTCATGTCTGTAGTCCCAGCTACTCAGGAGGCTTAGGTGGGAGGATTGCTTGAGCCCAGGTGGCAGAGATAGCAGTTAGCCGAGATCGCACCACTGCACTCCAGTCTAAGCAAGAGAGCAAGACCCTGTCTCAGAAAAAATTAAAAAATTAAAAATAACAATTGGCAAATCTAAGTGCAGGATATATGAGTGTTCACTGTCAACTTTTCTGTAGGTTTGAAATGTAAAAATAAAGTTGGAAATACATTTGTAAGTAAAAAATGCTTTCTTGTGAAATGTAAGTTAATAGACTTACAGACTCATCTCCAGCCCATCAGAAGATGTTAAATAAATATAAGTTATTCTCTGTTAAATAAATATAAGTATCTTCTCTCTTTTCATAGAAAGTAGTATAGATTAGGTAATATTTATCTACTTAGTATCTATTCCAATCACACTCAATGTAATTTAAACTATTTGTAACATGAGATTTACAGACAGAAAAAAATAATCTCGATGTTCTCTTTTTACAATTATCTTGTTCTAAGGGCAAAGAAAAGCTTAACTTGGCCAGGTGTGCTGGCTCATGCCTGTAATCCCGGCCCTTTGGGAGGCCGAGGTGGACAAATCACTTAAACCTAGGAGTTTGAGACCAGACTGGATAACATAATTAGACCCCATCTCTATGAAAAATAAAAAAGTTAGCCAGGCCTGGTGGTATGCACCTGTAGCCCTAACACTCAGGAGGCTGAAGTGGGAGGATTGCTTGAACCTGGCTGCAGTGAGGTTCAGTTAAGGCTGCAGTGAGCCATGATCACACCACTGCCAGGGGACAAAGACCCTGTCTCAAAAAAAAAAAAGGGCTTAACTTGCTTGGGTTTTGAGCAGTTGAACAAAAACCTTGCTTTTACATATGAAACACAAATTATCTGGGAAGATTTCCTTGGTAGGGGTGGGTGCTCTAGGCTCTACAGGTGGAAATAGCATTTGTGAATTCATCCCACGGTCTGGGTTCTTCTCCAGGCAAAGGCCCATTCTTGTTGGGTTAGAAGTTCTTGTTTGAAAATATAACCTGAAAAATAGATTCACTTTAGTGCATAAGAATAAATTCACAAAAACCTTACCATTCAAATAAAAACATAGGAACTATGCCTAACTACAAGATGGCCAATCCGGCAGAGGACTTCAGCGACCCCTCTCCATTTGACTATCAAACGAGGTGATTAGACAAAGAGCGTTGTCAATTTCTGCTTGAGCCCCAGTTATGGATTGCGGGTGCAGAGGTGGAGTCATCAAAGATGAATTTTAGAAAATCTGTCTCTGTTTAAAACCTTTTAAATGCTTATACTCAGTCCCATTGCCAGGAGTGAAATCCAAACCTCCTGTGTGAAAAATCAATATCCAGGCTGACAGATCACATGGGATCTTCCTTACAGACCAAAACCATAGTTAATTCTTAGGTCCTTTTAAATACTAAACTCTTCGCTGCCTCTCTCTACCTCCACCTCTGCATCGCGCCTACCTTAGAAACCGCCAAATGCCATTAAATCCCACCCTCACCAGCCACGCGGTCTCCATAGGCTCCACGCGCCGCTTTTGCAGGCCCCCATTGGCCGCTTTATTGCCAGACCGCCCCCCGCTTCCACGCCCTAGTCTTCTTTGATCTCCTCGGATTCCGTGAAGCCCCGCCCTTCTATTCTCCCCTTTGGCACATCTTCTTCCACTTAGGCCCGCCCCTCCCCACCTGGCTATTTGGTTGGCCAGCGCGCTTGCCACTTACGTCATTCATCCGCGCCACCCGGAAGCCGCGGTTCCTACCAACCGTTCTTATTGCTGGCGGCCCAGAGGTAAAGGTCGTGCTTGGGTGTCCCTGGGTGGCCGGGTCCCCTAGTTGGGAGGGGAGGGAAGGCTGAACCCCCAGCTTGAACCAGACAAGCCGATGCCTAGCGTTTAGAGGGTGGAGATGAACTGTGTGTGAGGCCAAACTGGAGCGGTCAACGTGGTCTTCCCCCTCCCGACTCCCCAGGAGCCCATCATGGCGTCGCCCCCTAAGCGGCGGGCTGTGGAGGCCACGGGGGAGAAAGTGCTGCGCTACGAGTCCTTCATCAGTGATGTGCTGCAGCGGGACTTGCGGTGAGTGACAGTGCGGGGGCGGGGCGTTTGGAACAGTCCACGTGGTGGGTGGGGAGTTCAGAGTTAGGGCCAAGCCTTTGGATTGGTGGGCTAGGCGTTCAGAGTCCGGCTCCGCGCTCCTTGGAGCGTGCAGTGGGGGCGACACCCGGTGTGCAGTTTGGCTGAGACCTGCGTTCATAGTAGGGGGCGTGTCCGCGCATGCGTGGCCTCCGATGTTTAACGGATTAAGGCTGGTTTTTTGGAGCCACAGTTCTCGGGTTCGAATCCTGGCTCTGCCATTCTTCATGTTTGTGAATACGTCCTACCTCGCCTTTCTGTGCCCTATAAACTTTCCTCCTCTGTGAAATAGGGAGTTTTGTGGAACCTTCCCCATGCAGTGGTTTTGAGTATTTGATGTGCCCTATCTTTGTAAAGAATTTAGCATGGATGCCTGAAACATAATAGAGATTCAGTGAGTATGAAGAAATATTATTGCAGTCTTTTTTTAATTTAAGCAGGAAGGTGTTCAGAACTAGGACTATGAGCATCCTAAAAGGGATGGAGGATTTTTCTAGGGTGGGGATGGGACATTATGTTTGGAGTTCAGCACTGGGTAGAGTGTAATAATAGTAATAATAGCTAACACATGTAGAGAGTTTACCATTTGGTAGTCATTGTTCTAGATGCTTTGCAGTAAATGCTCATTTAATCCTAATGAATCGCCGGGCGCAGTGGCTCAAGCCTGTAATCCCAGCACTTTGGGAGGCCGAGGTGGGTGGATCATGAGGTCAAGAGATCGAGACCATCCTGGTCAACATGGTGAAACCCCATCTTTATTAAAAATACAAAAAAAAATTAGCTGTGCATGGTGGCGTGTGCCTGTAATCCCAGCTGCTCAGGAGGCTGAGGTAGGAGAATTGCCTGAACCCAGGAGGCAGAGGTTGCAGTGAGCCAGGATCGTGCCATTGCACTCCAGCCTGGGTAACAAGCGAAACTCTGTTTCAAAAAAAAAAATCCTAATGACTCTACAAGGTAATACTGTCATCTGCATTTTATAAATGAGGAAACTGAGTCCCAAACAGGTTACTTACTTGCCAAAGTCATACATCTAGTAAAGGGTAGAGCCCAGATCCAAACCCAGGCAGACTGACCCAGAGCCCAAAATTTTAACTGACACACTTAAAAAGCTTTTTCAGTGTATGGTGACGTGAGAGTCTCAGAGGGTCATGAAATGAGGTATATCAGGAGGAATGGGGCTGTCTATTGGTCACCATTGTGCTTTCGTCCCATCAGAAAGGTGCTGGACCATCGAGACAAGGTATATGAGCAGCTGGCCAAATACCTTCAACTGAGAAATGTCATTGAGCGACTCCAGGTAAAGACTATGGGGTTGGGTACCATTTTTTTTGGTGTGTGTGGGTAAGGGAGGGAGACGGGAAGAGAGACCCCAAACCCAAACCTGTCGCCTGATCTAAGAGTTCACCACTGACCGCTACCTCTTTTTCCCTGGCCCCACAGGAAGCTAAGCACTCGGAGTTATATATGCAGGTGGATTTGGGCTGTAACTTCTTCGTTGACACAGTGGTGTGAGTGTCTACCCATCCCTCTGAGCCCACGGGGTTCAGCTTCCCCCTTCCCTCATGCAACATATATTTTTTTGAGTATCTTCTATATACCAGGCACTATACAAGATTTTATATCCCAATAGGATATAAGCTAGGTGCTGGGATGTGACAGTGATTAAAATCGGACAAAATCCCTGCCTTCCCAGAGGCTCAATTTGGGGAAGGGTGGGAAGCAAAACATAAACTATGCTAAACAGTGATGAGGACTCCCCTCCACTTCCTCTAACCTCTCTCTCCTCAGCCCAGATACTTCACGCATCTATGTGGCCCTGGGATATGGTTTTTTCCTGGAGTTGACACTGGCAGAAGCTCTCAGGTTCATTGATCGTAAGAGCTCTCTCCTCACAGAGTAAGTCCATTCCATGAGGATAGTGTGTAAAAACACTACCATTTCCAACACTCTCCTTTCTTTCCCAATGGCTGCCTGGAATGATATTTAAGGACTCATCTCCCCACCTCCTCAGAGCTGGGACTGAAGAAATGGGGATGCAAAGCCCATGTGTAGCACATAATAAGCATTCAAAAAATGATCTTTGTATTGTTTGTTCATGTAAACATTTATTGGGCATCTTCTGTATGCCAGGCATTGCTTAGCAGTGGGAATGCAGCAGTGAACAAGACAGAAGAGTTCCTTGAAGGCTTTCAATCTAGAAGGACTACACTGTTATACATAAATAGAATTATGACCAGATCCATGAGGTCTCAGCCTGTTAAAATTGGTAACAAGAAAACTAGTTACCTGTGATTTCACTTCCTGCTAATTTTACTATTCATTCACTGTGTTCCTGCCACACTGACCTTCACATGCTTCTTTCAACATCCCAAGAATGATCCCACCCCAGGGCAATTGCCGTGGCTGTTCTCTCTGCCTGCACTGCTCTTTTCCCCAGTACCCACATGGCTTCCTTTCTCCTTACTCAGTTGTCTTGCTTAAATGTCACTTCCTCAACCAGGTGCTCTGTAACCTAACTTTAAAATCACAGCCCCTGGCACACTTGATTCCCCTCCTTCTACTTTTTTTCCATAACACTTATCATGCCCTAATATTTACTGTGTAATTTCTTTCTCATATTGTCTCCTCCAATTAGAATATAAGTTTTGCAAAGGGGGAGATTTGGTTTATACCCAAGGTGACTAGAGTAGTACAAGCATATAGTAGACACTCTGTGTTTTTGTTTTTAAGAGATGGTGTCTTGCTGTGTTGCCCAAGCTGGAATGCAGTGACTGTTTACAGCTGCAATCATAGCATACTACATCCTCAAACTCCTGAGCTCAAGCAGTCATCTTGCCTCAGCCTACCAAGTAGCTGAGACTACAGGCACACCATTGCACCGGGTAGCTGGGATTACAGGTGCTCACCACCACTCCTGGCTAATTTTTGTACTTTTAGTAGAAACGGGGTTTTACCATGTTGGCCAGGCTGGTCTCAAACTGACGACCTAAGGTGATTGGCACACCTCAGCCTCCCAAAGTGCTGGGATTGAAGGCGTGAGCTATGACACCTGGCTAAAGTCCAGTTTTTATAAGAAGGCTTTCCTTGTTAATGTCACAGGATTCCTGAGCCTATCAAATAGATTTTAATTTTTTGAGACTCCGTATACTTCTCCCAAATGAAATATTTAAATTGTCAGTGCCTGCTCCCTCGCCTGGTCTTTTTGATATACTACCTGGTCTATTAGTGTGATGAAAAATATAGTTGACTCTTTTATTGCGTTATTATAATTAGTAGGGCCGTCTAGAAGTTTAATTTTTCTAAGAGATGAGGATTTGAGTCTATGTAGCTGGCTCTCCCCTTTAAAACACTTGGTTACTTGGGATATACTTTGAACTAACTTTCTGGTTATTTTATGTGATCAAAAGTGTTCTTCCTGTTCTTAGTATATTTCTTTGTTCAGGAAGTGGAAGGGATGAAATCTCTGTATATTCTTTCCTGATGACACAGAAAGGACTACACATCCACATCTCATGTATAGACATGTAATTATAGAAGAAACAGCATAACCATATGACTGCTCACACTACCTTACATGCTAAATCAGTAGTACTTTGCTTCTCCACATAGAAAATAAAAATAAATCAGTAGTAATAAACATATCCCTTTTGTGTTACAGTTAGCACTTGGTAAACTGCATTTTTCTTCTTAAGTGTTAAGCTCATAGGTTTTCATAGGCTAAGCTTATACCATTAACTAATTTTGTTCTCATTTTTTATGTTCAAATTGGCCCTTAGGAACTGATCAGATTCATTCTTCTGTTTTTTAAGCATTACCCCAGAATATTCTTGAAAGTATTCTTGCTCTCTGGCAACAACACCCATACTTCATTTAGTTCCTGTTCCTAAACATACACTCAACCAACTTCAGGTTCCTTTGAATGGAGTAGGCACTTATTCAATATACGTTGGGTGCCTGCTCTGTGCCATTGACACAGAACAGTCCCTGCTCAGGGACATTATTCTGGTCCCTGAGGATACAGCAGTAAACAAAAAAGACCAAAATCTGCCCTCATACAGCTGACATTCTAGTCAGGGGAGATAAACAATAAACGAATGATGTAGTATGTCAGATGTTGACAGTGCTATGGAGAAAGCATATCGTGGAGATCAGAAGCAATGGAGCAGTCGTGATTTTAAGTAGAATGGCTGACTAGATGTGAAGTGTGAGAGAGGGGAGTCCAGGTTTTTAGCTGAGCAACTGGAAGGACGGAGTTGCCATTATCTGAGATGGAGACGGTAGGGGAGGACTGGATTTGGAGGGGAAAGTCAGGAGTTTAGTCTGGAACCTGTTAGGTATGATGTACTTATTAAACACTGAAGTGGATTTTTGGAAGATGTCATTAAAACTCCTAGTCAAGTTCAGAAGAGAGTTCTGGGCTAGAAAAAGAAATATGGGAGATATTGGTACATATGGGTTCATACTACTTTTTTTTTCCAATTTAGCATCCTGTCTTAATGCTGTCTACTTTTCCAATAGTATTTAGTTTTATTTACCCCTCAAACTGACTCCTACATTGACAACACAATAAAATCCACATTCCTTATCATGATATCAAGACCCCGGATGATCTAGGATGTTGTTATACCACCTTCCTTCACCATTCACTTAATTTCTAACACACTGACCTCACTGCTCCTCAAACAGCTCATTGCTGCCTCTTGGCCTTTTTGTGGAAAAGGCCTTCCTCCTGCTTAATCATTAGGCATTCTTCCATTCCTTCTCATTCTTCATTGTTTAGAAAGGCCTTCCTTGACCCTTTATATCAGTTAGGATTCTTTTGGGTGAGACCTAATCCAAACTGGCTTAGATAAAAGGAGTCAACTGACTAGTTAATGTAATTCAACCTCCTTCCTCTGCCACGATCTTCCCCTGGTTCCCATCTCACTTAAGGTCAAAGCTAGGGTCCTTACCATGACCTTGTAGGCTTTACACAATCTGCCTCCCTCATTACCCCTCTAACCTCACCGCCTACATTCCCCCTTCACTTATTCTTTTCCAGCCACAGTGGCCTCTTTGCTGCACCTCAAACATGCCAGGCACACTCCCACCTCAGCGCCTTTGTGTTTGTTACCCCTTGTGTGTGGAACACATCCTCCATATACCCACACTACTCACTTCACGGTCTTTAAGTCTTTACTCAAATGCTTCTCAGCTAAGCCATCCCTGAGCCCTTTATTTAAAATTGCAGCCCCCCCCCCATTCTCGTAGTTGTTAATCCTCTCTCATTTTTACATTTTTTGATTGTAATTAGAACTATCTGACACACCATATCTTTTATTTCATCGGGTTTTTTTGTCTGTTCCTCTTTACAAAAATTTGAACTCCGTCAGGCCGGGAGTTTTATTTGTTGTGTTTGCTGCTATCTCCCCAGTGCCTAAAATTGCCTGGCATACAGTAGGCATTTAATAATCTTTGAATCAGTGAAAACCAGATGGTGGTTTGGCATCTCTGCATAGCAGCGAGCCCTGTGGAAATCATCCAGGATATAAGTAGTTCTTGAGATGATGAGGAAGGGTCATTCTCATAATCATAAGTGGGGCCCATTTTGCCCTTTCCTGTTTCTTTCTCTAGGCTCAGCAACAGCCTCACCAAGGACTCCATGAATATCAAAGCCCATATCCACATGTTGCTAGAGGTGAGAGCAACTCACCCCACTACCAGACTCTGTGTTTAGGGTGGTGACCTGAAGAAGGGAGAGAGCGGAAGAAGGGAGGGACCATCTTTCCTTCTAAACTGGAGTCAAGGGAGGGAGGTCAGAGCAAGCCTCGGGGCATAACCCAGACCCAGTCTTTGATCAGTCTCCTCTTTTTCAGGGGCTTAGAGAACTACAAGGCCTGCAGAATTTCCCAGAGAAGCCTCACCATTGACTTCTTCCCCCTATCGTCAGACATTAAAGAGCCTGAATGCCTTTGAGTCACATGGCATTTCTTTTTCCCCATGAACTCTGCTGGTTGCCACAGGGGCCTGTTACTAGGGCACAAAGTTACAGAGAGACCCCTGAGGTCCATTCTCTCTGTGGAACCTCTAAAATGCCCCAGCAGTCCTGCCTCCAGCCTGTTGCCTGGCAGTATTTGCCAGCTGACCTTATGCACTGCCCTCTCTTCTGTCATCTTGGCAACCTGGGCCCCCATCTCAGCCATTCCTTTTCTTAGACACCACCCTTTGATTTGCCATAGAGAATGAGCCGATTTATGGTGGTTTGTTCATTTTCACAGCAACCAAAGGGCCCTAAGGTTTACCCTTTCACACACCCAGTCGCTCCTCAGGTGCCCTAAATTACACCCACACCCACCTCAGCCCTGCCTTGTCCTAGCCCCTGCTTCTAAGTGGTTCCAGCTTCCAACAGGCAGAGCTGAATCCCGCTCTCCCTAGTCCGACCCCTGTTTTAGGTTGAGTCCAGCCGCCGCCAATCAACGCAGACCCAGGTTCCTCCCCTTTTTAAGTTCGGCCACAGTTCAGCCCTGCCCTCTGAAGACATTTCGTTTCTGCCACTCAATACTCCGTGTGCCTGACAGCCATCCTGCCCTCCTACCTCCGTTGTGTTCTAAATTCGTCTTCTACCCAGCTCTAGGGTCCTTTCTAACCATAGAGGTACACTGTCCGCCTACGCACAGCCCAGCCCAGCCCGACCCACTCCTGCCGGCTGCTACGCCCATTTCTATACAAGTCCTGCTTCCGCTGGGCAGCGTGGCGTGCGGCACCGCCCCCTTGGTGTTTTGGCAGGGGTCTAGAGTCCCTCATCCGCCAATCAGAGGAAAACAGGGCCACCCACCCCCGTCCTTGGAGGCTGTCTTCCATCAATCCCATGTAAGCCAATCAGTGTGAGGCAGTCCCCTCCGCGCCCCCCCACACACCCCCCCCAGCCTTATCAGTTGCTCACAGTCCGTCAGTCCTTGAGCCAATCGCCGTGGAGCACCAGGAAGGCGGAACAAGCCTCCTCGGGACTCCAGGGGCCGTGAGCATTCCATCATTTCCCCTTAGGCCAATCACAGCACAGCTCCGTGGGGAAGGTCCAGTCCCCCAGCCCCTCTAGGCCGTGTGGCCGATTAATAGCGCTTTGGCCAATCAGCGAGCGGCGGGACACTGGACTCCTCCTCCCCGTGCCCACGTGAGCCGTAGGGAAACGCAGGGGCGGCTTCTAGGTGCTGTCGCCGCCGCCACCGCCGCCGCCGCCTCGGAACCCAGGCCTGGGGGGCGGTGGGGCCGCGTATGGAGCCCCCGCCCCCCGGAGCTACCAACATTGCCAACGCCACCGCCACGCTACACACAGGTGAGCTCTGGGCTTGGAGGGTGGAGGGCCCGGTCCGTGACCCCACGTATCCTTCCCGCCCCCGCTCAGAGGATGTGGCTTGGCCGGTGGCCTGCTGGTGTTCGACTCCCCGCCGCCACCACCACCACCACCACGGCTGGTGGACCTGCTTGTGGCATTGCCCACGCCCTTCGCCCCTTGTAGTGGATCTGACCGTGGCCTAACCTCCCCCTCCCGTTGTATAATGGATCGGTCTGCGTGCTTATATTTTTTCCCACGCCAACTTAGGATGGACTCGTCCATAGGCTTTCCCCCTACCCCCACGCACCCCCCATCCACCCACACTTATAGGGAGCCCGCCTGTGGCAGTGTTCAGTCCCCTTAATAGTAGGTGTATCTGAGTGTTTGCATTTCTCCTAGCCTCAACTTTCAGGGGAAGACCCGTCCGTGGCCTTGTTTATTCTTCCCCTCCTGTTCATTGTAGCGAATCAATTCGTGGCGCCGCACCCCTCCACACACATCCCTCTTTAACAGTGGGTCTATCAGAGTTTGTATTCCTGCCTCCTCCAGTCCCCCAATGCATCAGTCCATGGCTTTTTTCAGAAACCCGCCACACACACACACACACACACACACACACACACCATCACCATCACCACCACCACCACCATTTTATAGTGGATCAGTCTTCATGTTTGGATTCACATCCCCTTAGCTATCAGTCCATTGCCCTATCTGTCCTCCCTTTTTCGTAGACTGTCACTGTAGCGCTTGGGCTTCTCTCTTCTTTTTAATAGTGAGTCAGTCAAGTGCTTTATATTTCCCTATTTTCAGTAGCTCAGTCCATAGCCTTGTCCCTCTCTGCTTTGAATCAGTCTGTGTGATGGCTTTTCTCTCCCCTCACTGTGGTGTGGTGCAGGAGTCTGTAAGGTTTTCTGCTCTCCTTCCCCTCAGATGTTGAGCCTCATCCCCCCTCCATTTTCAGTGGATCTGTTCATTGGCCTTCCTCCCCCACACCCCAGTATGCTTGCACAGTCCCCCGCATACCCTCCCCTGAGTCCAGTGCTTTGTAATTGGAGGAAGGTCTGCCGTGTACTTTGAATTTCCTTCTTTTTTTTCCCTTCCCAGAGGAGAACGTGCTGATCCTCTTTTCCTTGTGGTGGAGAAATGTATGGCCTTTCTTGTCCCCCACCTCTTAATATAGTGGGTCAGCCTGATCACACTTGTAACCACAAAGACGTTCTGCCTCACTACAATAAGTAAACACATTAGCGCCAGTGATGATTGTAATGCCAATAGGAGCTAGCGTTTATTAAGCACCTGCTGGGTATCAGAGTGTGTCATATGAATGAGTTTCTTTAATCCTCACCACAACCCCATGAGGTAGGTACTGAGGGAGCCGGGCCATAGGGAGGTTAAATTCCTTACTCAGAGGTGGCCCAGGAAGTACTCAGGGCACAGGATAATTTTTGAGGCTCCCCTCTTAGACCCCATCCCACCCCACGTGAGGCCTCGGTCCTTAAAAACCAAATTGGTTCCCATCTCCAAGCTTTTGTTCTTGCTGTTCCCTCTGCCTGCAGAGCTGTCTCCATTACCCACCTTGTCTCAGCACCCACCCACCCCCCAATCCCAGCAGCTCTGTGACCTTAGATGAGTGATTTAGCCACTTCCTCTCTGCACCTTTTTCTTCATTTGTGAAATGGGGGATCAGAACTAGAATCCCCTCCAGTGTAAATAAATATTACCTGTGAAATAATGGTAAAACAAGTAACCTTTTTAGCATTACTGCCTATACCTCCCCACCCCCTGACTGTGCTCCAACCACACTGCCTCCACTGCACAGCTCCTGAAACAGCAGCCATGGACCAGCCTCAGGCCCTTTGCATTGGCTGTTCTTTGTGCCTTGTATACCACTCCCAGATCTCTGCATGATTCCTTTCAGCACTTTGTTCAAATACCAGCCACCAAAAGTTTACCACACTGTGGTGCAGGGAATGCAAATACAAAAAGATAACATGTATCAAAGATGTTTCTAAGAATGCTCGTTTGTATATGAACAAGGATTTTCCTCCTTTTCGAAAGGCTGTGTTTACAAAACTGTGAGGTATGTAATAGGCTCTGTAATGGCACGGTATAAAAGCTGTTTCTAGGAGTGCTAGTTGCATATGTGAATAAGGACTGTGTTGCATTGAAAGAATGTGTTCACAAAACTGTGGTGTGTAGCCGGGCATGGGGGTGTGCACCTGTAGTGCCAGCTACTTGGACTGTAGCTGAGGTGGAAGGATCGCTGGAGCCCAGGAGTTCGAGGCCAGCCTGGGCAAAACAAAATCACTGTGGTGTGCGTAATACACTCTCCTAAAGGCACAGGCATAAAAGATGTTTCTAAGAGTAATCACTCTTTTTGTTGCACCTGGGTAGTGTTAGTTCAGTAAAGATTGATTGTCACACCATGGTGCTTGGAAAATACTATACAAAGGCACATGTATTACAAAAACAGTTCCTAACAATGCTGCTTGTAAAAACAAAAAAAAAAATCAACCCCTCCCTTACCATCTGAAGCTGCACACCCAGGAGGGCTCAAGCCAGGTCCCTGCTTTGTCCCTTTATCACTGTGACACACTGTGTGGGTTTCTTGTTTGTGTCTGTCTCTCCGCATTAGAATGTGAGTCCCATGAGGACTCAGTTTTTGTCTGCTCATTCACTGCAACGTCTCCAGCACCTGAAGATGTACCAGGTAAACAGCAGATGTTCAGTAAGAATTTATCCCATGAATAAATGGGAAAAGGATTATTTCAGACACCAGCATAGGGGTCAGATGGAGAAGAAGGGATACGAGGGCTAGTTAGTTGGGACTGTTCCTGCAGCCAACCTTTACTGAGCCCCTTGTGAGTACCAGGTGCTCTTCTAGGTGCTGGAATATGGCAAGGAACAAAACAGGAAGAAATATCTGTGCTTGTGGAGCTGACATTTATTAAAAGTTGGGGAGGCTGGGCACAGTGGCTCACGCCTGTAATCTTAGCACTTTGGGAGGCCAATCTGGGTGATTGCCTGAGCTCAGGAGTTCTAGACCAGCCTGGGCAACACGGTGAAACCCCATCTCTACCAACATACAAAAAAATTAGCTGGGTGTGGCGTCATGAGTCTGTAATCCCAGTTACTTGGAAGGCTGAGACAGGAGAATTGCTTGAACCTGGGAGGCGGAGGTTGTAGTGAGCCGAGATTTCACCATTGCACTCCAGCCCTGGCAACAGACTCAAAAAAAAAAAAAAGTTGGAGAGACAGATTATATGAACAAAATGAACCAGTAAAATTAGTGTAATAGACAAATGCTGAGAGGAAAGAATGAAATAGGGCAGGTGGGAATCGAGTAGTGCGGGTGGTTAAAATCTTAGGCACAGAGCAGGCCACACTTGGAAGGTAACTCTTGAATTAGGGCCTCAAGGTAGAGAGGGAGAGAGCCATAATGTCTAGGGGAAGAGCATACCAGGCAGAAGGAAGCACCAGTGCAGAGGCCGAGGTGGGATGGTGCCTGCCATGTTCAAGGAACATCAAGGCAGCCAGTGTGGCTGGAGCAGAGTGCGGGGAGGGGTAGAAGGTGAGGTCACACAGGTGTTGGGAGCCATATAGTGCGGGCCAAGGTGATCCATAGGGTAGGATTGCAGGG